TTATTACTTTCATTACTTTCACATAGCAATGAAATAGAATAAAACACCACTATAAAAACATTGCACCAAATTTTAATTGGATTAAAATATTACTTGAACTGAATATCAAGTTAAAAACCCTCATACCAACATTTAAAAGAATTAAAATATTACTTGAATTCAAATACTTTAAAATAAGTAAATAAGAACACTTCGCACACTAGAGCTAAAATGACAGCAATTAGAAGTTTACTGCTGGTAAAAAAGGAGGAATGTCTAATACTTTTTTTATCATTACAGCGGTTATTTCTTCCACCGTGACCACAATGCCATCCTCAGAATCGGCTTTTTTAATGATCTTCATCTGTGATCCACATTTCTCACACTGCATTGAAGAAGCAATTACCGAGGTTTCCTCCAAAAATTTAAAATAAATTTCCTCTGACCCTTGTAGCAATTTATAAATAAATCTTTGATTAGGAAAGCCAGGTTGGCCAAAATAAGGTCTCAAAGGGCAGTTTTTTTGATTCCGATACCAATAATTCTTGGCACTTACAAATAACAATATTAATCTTTGAAAGAGACCTAAGGAATTCGAAGAGATGAATAATAAAATTTTAAAATGGCGTGGTAATGCACAAATATTCAATAACCAATCAGGGAGCTGATTACATCACGCATAGAATTAAAATTATTTAAATAATCATAAATAATAAAATCATTTTTCAAAAAAAAATTGAAAAATTAAATTGTATTTTAATATTTAACAGCCATAAGTAATGTTTAAAACATTAGATTAAATTTATAGATATTAAAACCAATTACTTTCAAAGCAAGGTGATGTCATTGATATTGATTACATCATCCACAACATAAAATATAAACAAAAAAATTTTTACTTCAAATAAAAATGCAAAATGAAATTGATTTTTAATATTTAGAAGCCGTAAATAATATTTAAAACACGGAATTTATGCATAATAAAACACATTATTTTTAAAATAAAATGACAATGGGTTTACTATAAATCGTATCGCTCACAAAAAAAAAAAAAAAAAAAAAAAAAAATCGCCAAAATCCGTGCAACTGTCTATTAAAGTAGCACCCAAAACTGTATTAAAAGAAAAAATGGAAATTTCCAATATGTTTAATAATAAGTGGAATTTTCCAGCATGTTTTTGTCTTGAAATAAATTACTTAAATAATTGTATTAACTATGATAATTAATGTATATATTAAATAAGTGCTGTTAATTTATCTAAACTGCTGACAAAATTTATGAAATGATATAATAAATACAAATTAAAATTCTATATGTATACATCAGTTGTTCTCATCTTTTTCTATCTCACATACCCCTTTCATTGCTAAACAGTCATTCCCCTCCTGTCCTTCCAAGACTTGAAAATAAATATACATTTATTTAAGTTTAAACTATTAACATGTAGTATTATAGATTCAACAAGAAAAGGTATAGAAAATATTGATAAATACCAGAACTTGAATAAAAAGTTTTTTATATTCGTAAACTAAAAGTAAATGATCAGCAGGTAAATAAACTGCCGACTGAATTTCCTCCCTTGTTGAGATGAGAACCCCATGGTATGTATTAAATAACATATATTATATAGATATTGAATGAATTACCATTTACTGCTGTCAATTTTGTTTTGAGTCATGCATATAACATTTAGGCAACGAATACCCTTTCTTAAGCCAAATTACACCAATACTGTTTTCTCTTAAAAAGGCTGCTACAGAAGACAAGTATTTTATAAATTAAATGTACTTAATTATGTCACTTTTTTGTGTTAAAAAATTGGCTTGCAGTCAATTATTTAAAAAAGCTACCTTTTATTTAATTTTTTATCTTAACTATTGACAATATTTGTCTCTTTTCTTTTTGTTTCTCTTTATCATTTTTCTCCCAAATAAAAAAATAATGAATTCCTCTAACGTTTCATTTCTCCTGATTTTCAGGTCATTTTCCTTCAACAAAGCTGATCTTATTTTTTACTCATTGAATTTTATAGTTTTGAATTTCTCCTAGTTCAGAGATATAAAGTTTGTATGGCTTCTCTGTTCATGCTGTTTATTTTCATAATTCCCCAGCTAAGCTTTTAAATCCATCTTTCCATATTTTTTGCCTCAGATTTACTTTTTCACCTCAGATTCATGCTTTTTTCAAATCATTTATGTCAACATTTTGGTTACATCTGAATATTTCATATGGTTGTTAATTTATATTTCATAGGACTTCTGTTATTCACATGAACAGTTGCTTTTATGCATTCAGTTCAAAATTTCATATGTAATTTTTTATTAGTTTACGTAGTTCTAGCAATCTCCATGATGATATGATTAAAATATCCAGCTTTTTCATTTTCTTTGCATTGCTGCCAACTTTTCCAGTAAATTTAGGTGACTCCTGGTTTTTCATTGCATTTCCTTGTTCCCAGCAGATGTAGAATTCTCTTGGTTTTTATAACTTTTAGTAAGGAAAATTTTTTCCCAGCACTAAATGAAATTTGTTAAATTTATTAAACGTTTTTCGTGTAAATTTCATTTATCGAATTCCTAAGATTTTAAGCATAATTTTTTTATTAAATTTGATTTGATCTCAATTGTCTCAATCTACTGTAATTTGTAGAACAAAGATTCAACTAATATTTAATCATTATTTGTATTTAATTTTTATTGCATCAATAAATAGTACATTTCTAAGTTTATCCATGCAACAGTATATATATTAATTATTAATTTTATTTTTGGTACATTTAAAAATACTTTGATAAGTGAAAGATTTTTTTTTTCCTCTACTCAGGATTTTCTCAGAAAACAAAATCAATCAAATCATCATTTAGAATAATATGTTTTACATCAGAATTGTATTTTAAACATTTCATTGCATCATTCATAATAAAGGTAGTTTAAGTCAATTTGGATTTCTTTTCAAATGACATTCATTACATGATACAAAAAATGTCCTGAAAAGTTTTTTGTATGTCAAGGTTGATAACTAGCTGTTTGAGGTATCTAACTAGTACTATGATTCTAGCTGTATCATAAATTCATATTTTATTCCTGCTTTCTCAAGTAAATTCTTTAAATGGATTAAAAATTCTTCAGTGTTAACACATGTCTTTTTCCTGTTTGTCTTTCATCTAAAATGATAAATTTTATCTGATATTTTCTTCAGTTGTAGTAACAAACGTGAAGTTGTTATAATCATTTTCAGATATTAGCAAATATAATCTTACGTTAAATGAGCTTTTAAGTGGTCCAACTAATTATATCTCTTAGCTCTATCATGTTTTTTGATTGATTGAATTTTACACTTCTGTAAAAACTTTGTATTGTTGCTTCTGTGCTTATCTGTGATAGGTTACATGTTTTAGTTTTTTTTATGCAGTAGTGCATCATTAAAAGTACCTATTTTTTAGTTTCATATTTCCTGTTTTGTTAATCACATATAAAGTTTTTCCACGTTCATAAGAAATTTTGGCTTTACTGTTGATAAAAATTACATTTAAATTTTGATTGACTGACTTTTACAAATTTTGTTGAATTGTTTTTGTTTCAGTTTTGGGCTAATCTTTGGAATATGGTAACAGGTAGTTTGGCGACATTTTGGTAAGGCGATAAAGTCAAGAGTGTGCACAATACCATTTTTGTGCAATTCTTTTTTTAAGTGAAAATAGGTCGATGTGTACATGGATGATACCGTGTATGTGCAATTCTTAAAAACGCGGCAAGCAATTTGCAATTCTGCACTTTTTCCCAATTTCACCTCTAATCTTTGTCATGATTAAGCATTTTTGTTCCATAAAAGTTCTAGTATAAGCGTAATTCGGCTAGCAGATTGTTGGAAAAAAATGTTGAGTAAAAAAAAAAAAAAAAACATGCCTTTACTTCGTGAAAACAAAATGGCGTACAAAACAAAACTAGCAGGTTGCTGTAGCAGGGTTGTTTGCCAAATTTTCGCCAAAAAATCACCAAGTTACCATAATCCAAAGATTAACCCAGTTTTGTTATGTATATTTCTTGTTAGAAGGTTGTTCATCTTTCATGGTCTCATTTTGATTTACTTGCTATCTTTTGATTTAATAATTTTACTGTAAATCATGCTGTAAAGTTTTACATAAATATGATACTTATTGCAAATTTTTACTTAAAACTTGACACTTATAGTGGTTAAAAAAATAGTTTACCTCTTTGAAATGATTGAAGTTCTTGTTTCTGTTTTGTTTTAAAATCACACATCTCCATTTTAAAATTCATGACCATTGTAATTAAATCATTTCGTATGTGGTTGTTGCAGATTTTATAATACCTAAGTTTCTAAAATATTAATGAATATTTTTCTGGATTGAAAGTAGAACAATTTTTGAAAATTTTATGTGAACAAGAATGCATCATTGCATGATATAACAGTTAGTAGTTGCCGAAATCTAATATATATATAAATAGAAGATAAAAAATATATAAATCTCAAAATTATAGTTTAAATTAGCGATGACCCCTCAATTTCCCTTCTCTGTTCTAAAAATAGTAATGTATTTTTTCTGGTCTGCATCATTTCTAGATCAATCCATATCATATGACTTGCATTATGCTTATAACATAGCTAATTAGAAACCTGAACTAAGAATTTTGAGAAATGAAAACCTTGGTGAGTTCCATCATGGATAACTGCACACTTTTGCTTCTATCTCTTTTGTCGTTAAGATACTGGTGTGCTGCTTTTTTTCATATTGCAATAGTATCAAATATGTAAATGTTCTTGAACAGGTACGGTTAGAGTATACTTTATGAGTATATAGGCATGGTTAGAGTGTCAAGTAAATTGTGGCCACGAATGTCAATTGAAAATAAAGATGAATATTTAATTCGTCTTGTCCGCCAAGTTTCCTTTTCAATGTTTCAGTTTTCTATGTCATTTCATTGCTTTCGTTATTATTTGTAATTTTATTTTGTATCAATTAAGTGAAATTGATATTCTTTCAAATTTACATGTTTAGGTTGGTGAAGGTCGAGCATTGTATAATTTAGGAAATGTGTATCATGCAAAAGGCAAAAGATTTGCATGTATAGGGCATCAGGATAATGGTGAATTTCCTGAAGAAGTAAAATCATGCCTTCAAAAAGCAGTTGAATATTATGAGTATGTATAACTTTTTGCTTTTACAACTGTTATTTATATGTTCATTAGTTCTAATATTTTATCTTATGTAAAATAGCAGCTTGAATGTAAGATTTTTTAAGTAGTTACATATGTTTTCTTTTGTTTTGTGTGAATTAAAATTATTTTACTTTTTGCATATGTATATTATAACAACAGTTCTTTTTATTATTATTTTTTAATAGTATGTTATAAATCTGTGATCCCAAACTGGCAGCCTGCAAAACAATTTTATATGGCCTGCAAATGCATTTAAAATATGTATTAGTTGTAAATATGATGCTTCTAATTTTAGAGAGTGCCATTGACTACTGTTGGAAAAAAAAGGGGGAATGGATAAGTTGATGCATTGCCTTTGTCACTGTATGCTTATATGCCAGGCCGTAGATTGAGATAAGTAGAAGAGCATTGCACATAGATACAGTCTTGAAATTTAATTTCGAGATGACAGTTGATAGTGCTTTAGTATTCTAATATATTTTTTTATAGAATTGGTATTTCTAATACTTCACTTATTGTTAGATCAGTGCCTATCATTTAGAGTTGTGTATAAATTTTGAATATTCCTTTTAGTACTTTCTGATTATTACAGATTAAAGTGCAAAGGCAAGAGCCATTTTTGAAATGGCAGCATACTAAGAATTTCATAAAAGAGCAATGAATTAATAAAATTTAGAAGGCAACAAACACTGATAAATTAAATGCTTACTTCTTCAAGAAATTCTGTGTTTTTTTTTTTTTTTTTTTTCACTTTTGTTCACCCTATGTACAAAGCGATCTGCTGTCTCATTAAAAAAAAAGGGGGGGAAGCAGAATTGTATAACTTGTCACAGCACTCACCTTGGGCAAAATGTCATATTTCTGCTAAAATACAATGCTTTCTTTTCATCAGCTGGAAAATTCCACTCTTTCGTTATGATTCATTGTAAGAAAAATATCCTCAATGCATAAGAAATACTAATCAGTAAAATGATGGTTGAGTTTTGAAAGTGCAGATAAATAGACTTGCACTGTATATGCACACTTGGATTGCTATATGAATATTTTTTTATACGCAGATTGCCACATAACTATTCTGAAGACATACTGCATGGTTTATGAATATTTTTCCAGGACTTTTTGATATTGGGAGGACAGATAAAAAGAGCAGTGGTTTAATATAAAAATTCACCTTCTTGAATTAAAAATATAAAGCTATAATAGTGATTAAGATATTAAACTGCAAACCATGTTTTTAGCATAAGGTAAAAAAAGAAAGTGGATGAAAAAGTATATGTTTTCATACAGTTATGAAACAAATTGTTAAAACATCTTTTTTTTTTTTTTTTTTTTTTTTTTTTTTTTATGTTGAAAAGCAAGTAGAGAGACCACTTGGTTTTTTATATCTGATTGAAATAACACTAAAATTCTAATTTGAAGCAAATGAATCCAGTGGAAAAACTGTTAAGACCAGTTTTGTTCTCTCACAAGGTATTACTGATGAATTTGAAACTAAATGATTTAGTAATTAAAGGATTATCAAAAATAATTCCTATGAAAGGAAAAACTGTTGTACAGAATAAATATATATATATATATATATATATATATAAAAAAAATCTGTAACAGGTATAAATTAGGTTGAAATGATTTTAATTGATGCTGCAGTTGCTATGGTTGGTTAAAAAAAGGAATAGTGATAAAATAAAGAAATATCGTGAAAGAAGAAAAATTTGAGAATAATTTTTGCATTATTCATCACCATTATCACTTCATCGTTTCATGCCAATGTTTTCAGATTGATAATGTTATGGAAAATGTAAACAAGACAGTGAACTTTATTTGTGGATAAGTTCTGAATCATCAAAAAAGACTTGCATTGTTTAAAGAAATTAAAAGTAAGCTTGGATAAATAATTTATTATAATCATAGTGATTAAGTCCAGAAGCTTGCGGCTATTTTGATTTAATAAATGATATCAAAATTTGTATAATACATGAAAAATTGAACCTTAAGCAAGTTGCGTAATATTACATGGATAAACAATTTAGCATTTCTTGTTGACTTAGCAGGTTATTTAATTAGAACTACAAGGAGAGAATAACCTTATCAACAACACCTATTAAAGCTTTTAAATTTAAATTGCAGTTATGAGAAACACTATTGGAATAAAAAGATTTTCATGCTGTATTTCCTTCATCTGGCATCCAGCTATGTTGTATCATTTGAAAAAATTCACTAACTTGCCCCAAAAAAGAAAAACGTTATTACAGAAAAAAAGATTTGAAGTCATCTTTTACCTTATTTTTGTTAGTATAAAAGAATGTGAATGATGTATCAAAAATCTTACAAATAGGACTAAATTATTTAGAGCGTTATTTAAGTCATGAAGGATCTGAAGGTACAGATTTGATTAAATTTTACTTATACTTGTTGAAAGGTAAATAACCTCATTTACTAATTTTTGAAATAAGGATAATCACTTTTTTGTGAGTACAATTCTATGTTAAGTTTTTTTTTTTTTTTTTTTTTTTTTTTTTTAATAGTTGAAAATGTATATGTTTGAGGAAAAACGAGAGTAACTGATGAAATCCACAATCTGTGAAGAAAATAAATTGTAGTAATTTTTCTTGGAGGCTATGGACTTTATCGCAATTAAAATGCTTTCAGGGTGTATTAAGAAGTAAAGAAATTATGTTTATTTACATGCAAACGAAAACATACGCGTATTTACCATATATATACATGTTTTGAAGAAAAATTTAATAAATGAAAGAAAGAGTATTAGTTATCATTTTTTTTCTTGTGTTTTGTCAAAATTGGAAAGTTTTCATAATTTATTTTTAGTTTAAGTTGAAAGTAAGTTATTTGGGGGTTAATTCAACATATAAGAATTATTTGAAATAAACATTAATTTGAAAATTTAATATTTAGTTATGAATCTGAATATTTAGTAAGTGAAAATTTAGTTAAAAAAATTTTGGCATGTCAGCTGCTTTCACGTCTTTTATTTGGCCTGCATGCGATTAAGTTTGAGACCACTGTTATGAGTAATTATTATTTTTTTTTTTTTTGTAATTTTTTTTAATCTGCCATGCTAGCTTTTTTTTATTCACTGAAAGGCAATTTCTTTTTTCTTAAAGTTTAAAAGGACTGTCTTTTCTTCTCACAGGCAGAGCTTAAGAATAATGGTAGAACTTAATGACAGAAATGCCCAAGGAAGAGCTTGTGGAAATTTAGGAAATACACATTATCTTCTTGGAAGTTTTGATGAAGCTGTTTCATACCATCAGGAGGTAAAAAAATGAAACTGCATGTTTTTTTTTTTGGGGGGGGGGGGGGTATCAAGCTCTTCAGACGTCTGTTTCTAAGCTGTGCTTTTAACTATTTGGCTTTAGTTTATATCCTTGAAATAATCTGTTCAATTTAATTTTATAATATTCAGTAACAAATATTGCTCCAGAAATGTGTGGTTTTATGGTAATTACTTAACAATAGGATTTGTATATGTTTATTATAAATTTGTGCAATAAGCATTTCATAGGCTTAGTTATTCTCTAATCAGTTCAGATTGAAGTGATACTCAATAATGTAATTTATTATTATTATATCTATTGCAACACAGTGCTGTGTTTATTTGTATCAAAACAACAATTTAACTCATGGCAGATTTATGATTGCCCCAAAATTACGAAACAAAAATTTTTGCCGTCTGTTTAACTGTGCAACTTGCTCTTTCCCCGTTCAAGATTTCCTTTCAGCTTTTCTGTGATGTTTAATTTTTTATTTAGATGGTGGGCTAACAGATGGCATTAGTTGTCTTGTATATTTCTGCCAAATATACAAGAATACGTAATGTTGCATTTTGTGCGTGCTTTTCTCTTACGACGATAGCCAAATAAAGTTCCTTTACCAAAAGTTCTAGATAAAGTATACTGTCATTTTAATTCTTGCATTTTGCTGAAAGATAAATTATCTGAAATATAATATATAGAGTATTATGCTTATTTGTTAAATTCCATTGTTCCAAATAAAATTGTTAAAGGGTTTTATTATGATCAAGTATCCATCCTTTTGAATTACAGCATAAATCATGATAATCTGAAATTCAACTAAGGAAACCTGTAATAAATTTTTCAAAACAGTTTCTATTTTATTATGAATTTGAGATAATAAATTGATGTCAAATTTCTGTTGCTTATAGTTAATGTCTTATTCCTTAAAATGTTGTTGCCAGCTAAAATATTTTAATAGGAGCTAAGATAGCAGTTATGTGTAGTTTTAGTGGCTAGTATTTCTAACTAGATAGGGACTGATAATTAGGGAGTATGGCTGATAATTCTTGGAACCAGTTTCATCTTAACACAATGGTAAAGGAAATTTTGATCCCTTTAACTGTGTACTCTTTCAAATAAACACTCTTCTCTTACAATTAAAAATATTGCAATACCATTGCTTATATAATTTCAGCTACATGCTGTGTTATGAATACTTTTGCATTGGTTTCTGAGTGGTATAATTTTATATTATTGAAAATAATATATATTATCTTCTGTTGATAGAAAATTCCAGTTGGAAGTTGATCTGTCAGCACTATCCTTATCTTCAGCGCAGATGTTTTTATTTTATTTGGCTTATAATTCCTTACCAAATGTAGTATTTCATCTCGATATGCTCCGTCTTTGATATGATTTAAAACAAGTTCTCGTCATTATAATTCGCTTTCGATAGCGAAGAAAGTGACAGAAGTTATTGAAAACGAAAAAATTTCGATTGACAAATTAGTCGGTGTTCTCGACATAGCAATTATAGGACTTGAACAGCGGAACTTTGTAACTGAACAAGAAATTATGTCTGTTTAATACAATTAAAGAGAAAGTATTATCACATGAAACGAAGCAAAACTTAAACTACTTACATTGAAAGAAATGTTTAACAAAGTAAACAAATAAATATTAAGCTTTTTCTATTTGCAAATTTTGATACCCTTTAGATCATAATTGTTCTTTATTTCATAAATTACGGTTTCATATCTTTAATTTTAGAATTTCTGCATGCCATCTTACGAGATTTAAACTGATGATCTATAATTCGGAAAAATCGATAATCCGGAATCGCCGAAGTCCCGACGAGTCCGGATTAATGACTTTTGACTGTACTACATACTAATATTTTTGAAGCACAACTTACTGTTTTATTGAGAATATTGCTTAACCCTCTCACTGCGCATCTCAGGATTTCCACAGGCAACGTAAAGTAGCTAAATTTGCGCAACCCGCGATTTCCACGGGGATGAATTTTTGCCATCTATTTAACTGTGCAACTCGCTGTTCAAGGTTTCCTTTCGGCTTTTCTGTGATGCTTAATTTTTTATTTAGATGATGCAAGAATACATAATGTAGCATTTCGCGCACGCTTTTCAGAGCTCAAAGATATCTGGCAGGAAGCGTTTCGCGAGTGATATAACCTAATTCCCTGATGATGTTTCCAACACTGATAGTAGTTCTGACTCTGATTTCAAGTATATTGAAGATAGTTATAGCTAAACTGATGAGAATTTCTCGGATTCCTCTGCAGATAGTGATGAATCTGAAAATTCAGTTTCTATTGAAAACGTTCGACAGTGGTGCAAAATTGACATGCAAAATATTACATTATGCAAATATTTTCATTAGTATATATGTTTTACCTTTGTATTTTATAAAATAAATCATAATTTAACCAATATTAATTTTCAAAATTTTCCTTTTATATCATTATTCAATTTATATATATATGCATATATTCAATTATATATGCAGTGAGAGGGTTAAAGCATGCCATGAAAATATTTATCCTACAGTTTTTGTCAGAAAGTCTGTGTAGTTTATGGGCTGAACCTTGCAGGCCTGGTACAAAGATCTTCATTAAATTATTAAATAAAATTCTGAAGCACATAATTTAAGGATTTTCTTGCTTGCATTGTTAACACTAAACACGTGGCAGTTTAGAAGTGTAAAATGTAATGAGTATGACATCAAAATGTGGTAATGTGGGATATATTTGAATAGTGTCTAATTTACGTGAAATCAATATGTGTAGTATATTTGTTATCATAAATGTGGCATATTTGTTGATCTGATTTGAGTCGCATATCTAAATTTTAGCCTTCAGAATATTATTCCTTCATCTCAGGAAAGCTTTTGCTTTGTTGTGTATCCAGAATTAATTTTTTCCTGAAAATAACCAGTTATATATGAAACCTTGCATAATTTTTTAGAATATTTAAGACATTTTTCATTTTCAGAGAAATGCAAAGCCATTCTGGCCATTATTGTTTAAAATACTAGGATTTTGATTAAAAGATTTAATGACTGATAATAAGCAAGTTTTCAGTGTCTTAATGTAACCCATTATTATAGTGTTGTTAATACAGCTGTAATATCTTGCACAGTGGTCTACACCCATTTATGTGCTTTCACCATATGTTTATAGTTTTTGTGATTTTCATTATAATATTTATTGATTTTGACAGAAATAAATTGAAATACTCTCAGTATTCAAAGTAGATTAAGTAGAGAAAGCAGTGTAAACACAACGTATTAATTTTATTTAAAATGTATTATCCCGATTGGCAACAACAGTTTTTTTCAGAACGATAATATTTTTGAACTGTAAGTTTTTGAGCAGTAATGTTGACGGTAATGTTTCTGAATAAAGCAAGTATTTAATTTTAACAATTAATGTTTGACGGAATGTGTTTTTAATAAAGGAACTAATTAAATGCTAACATTTCAGAAGTGGGATAAACTAGAATTATTATCTAGATTTAACAATGTATTGCCTTAACGTACGCTAAGCCTAAACTGAATGCGGAAGCTCGCCAAAACTGAAAGTAGAAAGGTACGTGAATTTATAAACTGTTTATGTTATGTCTAAGTATTAAACGGAAAGAACTTGAGTATAATTATTGTATTAGTATTTGAAAATTGAAGTCTAAGATGGATTATTTGGCAAGAGGCAAAAAATGTGATTTAAAAGAACTTGCTTTGGAACTTGATGTAGATGTCCCTTCTGATCTTAAAATTGTAGGCTTAAGAGATATGATTTTGAATAGTAAGAATTATAATGAAGACTTTACTAAACAAATGCTAGATAGAATTATAAATGATCGTTTAGACAGGGAAAAGTTTTGAAATTTTAGAAAAGATAAGCAAAGAGCATTTGAAATGGAAATTATAGAAAGAGATAAGCAAAGAACTTTTGAACTTGAAAAATTGAAAATAGAAGCGGAAATCAGAAGTAGTAATGTAAATGATTCTGTTTCTTCTAATGTTAGTAGAAGTAATATTTGTGATATGAGTAAATTAATGCATAAGTATGATTTGAATGAAGGTGATATAAGTTTTTATTTAGTTTTATTTGAGAGACAGGCACAACGTATTGGGTTAGAAGAACAAAACTGGGTTTCTCAGCTGTTCGGTCTATTGCCTTATGAAATAACTCAATTAATTGCCCGTGAATCAGAAGAGAAAGCTAACGACAATAAGCACGTTAAACAACTGCTACTGAGAAAATTTAAGTTAAGACCTGAACAGTTTCGGCAAAAGTTCGTTGATCATATTAAAACGTTGCATAATACGTGGAAGGACTTCACGTTTGAATTAAAAAATTATTTTGAAGAGTGGCTTGCTGGATTAAATGTAACAGATTTTGACTCTTTAAAACAACTTATTATTACTGATCAATTAAAGAAGAGGGTCCCCGCTGGTATCCGAGACCATTTCATTGATGATTGGTCTCTAAATTCATTAATCCTGAAGAGTTGGCTGAAAAACTAGATGAATATGAAAATATTTCGGGCAGGGATAAAAAGTACTTCCTTCAAGTAGAAAATAAAACTTTTAGGCATAATTTTAAGTCCAAATCTGGTTCTAAATTTTATGAAGGATCCTATAATCAGTATTCAAGACAAAGAAATGTTAAAGATTCCATGCAGACAGATGGTAATTTCAAAGTGGGTTTTAAAAACAGTTTTGATAATAAATATAATCTGAGAGATAAATTTTATAAAACAGACGAAAGAAAAAGGGAATATAATCCTGGCATCCGCAATGAAAAGGGTGAGCCGAAATGCTTCAATTGTAATGATTATGGACATATAGCGACGGATTGTCCACAGCCTAAAAAAGAAATTATTTGCAGGAAATGTAATGAAAAGGGTCAACTTTTAAAAAGTGTACGTCTAAGAATCCAGACTTGACAAATGTTAAAAATAATTTATCCGTGAACCAGAATTCAGGTGTTTCACCAGCTG